CAGTTTCTACAATCACTTTTAGTGCTCCAAAAGCAGTGGCATATAAATATAATCCTTATACATGATACCAGACATGTACCAAGTCTAAAGTTAATATCTCAGTGGATGTTACTCTAATCTGGAGTTGCCTCTTCCCCCATGTACACAAAGAAAGCCCTGCTATGTATTTCCTCTCTGCATCCCCATTTTAAGGTAATATTTAATCAGATGCCTAGCCTGCAAAATGAATACATCCACTGAAAGTAGGTCATGATTCTTATCAAAAGCAAGATCACCATGCTGGATTGTTTTACCAGGAATCTCAAAATAAGAACAGATTAAAAAATCTGTTCAGTAAAACAGTACCTTTTTAAAATACCTTTAATGGAAATTTTATCTTTTATAGTGATTTCAGCTGTTGATGGCTTAGGACACAGCCATGCACAACAGAGCATTACTGATGTGCCCTTAATCCCGCACTGGACCAAAGCCTCAGTGTAACAGCTCTTTCATCTGCTGGTGACTTTGTGAGAAACAAGCTGAACCAGCACAAATGGCCTCCCTATGGAAAACTCTGTTGTTTTCTTTTTGCCAGGACTGTTTTTAAAAAGGGTACACTGCATGATCTATTACAGGAACGAGCATGGCTTACAAATCTGGTCCTTTATTGAGCCATATAATAAAGAAGGAGCTACTATGTATTACATCTATTACATTTTTGCTATTGTTTTTAGTTTCAGAATGCAAAAATTAGAATTCTTATTCCTGGAAGTAATTATTAGTTTAATATTCTATTCTATTAAGGGAGAAGTAATTTGCATAATCCTAGATCTAAACATCTATTTCTAGTCTCATTAACAGAACACAAACAACACCTTACACAAAATGATACTGCAAAACTATAATCGTGTTAATTACAGCCAAAGCATTTCCAAAGTGACTGGTGCTAAATTCATTACTCTCTTGTTTTGTTTAGTTTTAATAGCAATAATGGGATAAGTACTATAGTAAATAGAACAACTATTTAATATTTGGGTTTACCAGTTACAAAACCACATAGTTTCTTAGATTTCGAGATCAAAATTAAACTAAACAGAATTCTGCAGCTGAACATTGAAAGTTTCTCTCTCTTAACATGAGATTTAAAAGAACCTGACTAAAAAAAATGGAAGAGGATAGATTAACCTAAATAAGTATAGAAATAATTCAGCAACGAAATCAGAAGTTTCTACCACTGATAGCAGACATGTCATGTAACAAAAAGGAAATTTAGAACAGACGAATACAATTCTAGTGAAGTCCAGGAGACATATGCAAGTGAAGAATTTAATCTTCCTTAATCTTCTCGCATGGCACGATTAATCCCCTACCTTTGGGCTCTGGAAGATGACTTCTAGAGAAATATAATTTTTCTGCATATAAAATATACAGAAAAATATAAAATATGCCAATGTAGAGTTATGTTCCTAAACAAAACATTGCATTCCCCTATCCCCTCTTACAAATGTGACTCAGCAGCATGAGATTTGTGGCACAACATAACAATTTTCTTTGTTGTGTCTGATTCCTATTGTATAGCTCTCTGTATAGCTGCCAAAAATGCTGAAGGTCAGCTAAGCATGGATGAAAATGTAAGGCCCCACTCAGGTTGCATAACTTGCACTAAAGAAGTTAAGCCATACCTGTTTGGTAACCAGGAGAGCAGCGAGCACGGCCAGGGAAGGCGCTGGGCAGGGAGGAGCTGGCAGGGCTGGCAGTGGGGACAGCAGATCCAGGACAGCTGGGGAACACAGGCTGCCTCAGTGCGGTCCCAGCACCCGCAAACCTCTGTTCAGACTCAACCCCCACACAAACCAACAAATAAAAACCAGTCTGTTCCTGTCAAGTAAACAGATTATTCCTATTCTCAAGAACTGCATGCAGGAGGCAGTTTCAACCTAGTCTCACTGCACATTACTAGACCCATATAATAAAACCAGGGTTTTTAAAATGTAAGGAAAAAGAGAAACTACCTGCCTGTATTTGTGAATCTGCTACCTAACAAATAGGATTACCTTGCTTAAAATATACCTACAAGTCCTTGTGGGTGGGGTGAATGCCTTCAAAATATTCTGATGAATTTCATGTGGGACAGAATCTAAGTTTGCTAAGGGCTGCAGAAAGGAGAGTTAAACATCAAGTTATTTTAAAAGCCATTCTTTTAATCTTAGGCTATTGATGCCCAAAGAGGCTACCTGGAACAGAGGCTAGATAAAGGAATAAAGTAGGTATTTATTAAAAGGCCTTCAAAGGATGAACCTTGGGTGGTACAAGAGCCCAACTGTGTATCTACTCAAGATGGGCACCAGACAGATGTCCAATCACGAGTTTTCACACTTTTATAAGTTTTGATCCATTAGCATATTGGAATCCAATTAAAGCTTCAGATTATGAAGTCCCATCCTCGTAGATTGCTCTCCTCAATTTGCTGTTGCTCACACTTTTTGGGCCTGAAGCTGCAATGGTGTCCTTGGGTCTTAGGCTGGAAAAGGATTGTTTTGCCTAACTGAACTGTGAAGAGAACTTGCTAACACTTTATATGAAGTTCACAGTTACACACTAAGGCAGTACAGAATCTGAAAAATATGAAATCTAAAACTTAAGGCATCACTATCAGCATCAGTATCTCTGAACTTTATGTCTTATTTCAAGATTGGAGTTGAAACACATGTCCATGTGTACCTAACTTCCACTTTGCATGGAGGCCAACCCATATTTAGAAATATAAAAATAATAGAATAATGGTGAAAAATAGAAATAATCCCTGTGAAACAGTGCATGAAGAAAAAGCCATAGGCTGTTACAACCCCAGTGAATGCCCCAACACACTGGTCCCTGTGGTTTTGAGTGAGTAAACATGTTGTCCCAAGCTGTTCCAGGTAACCTCTTTGATCCCTGTCACTGTGTCAAGAGATCACTTGTCCCCTGCCAAAGGGCAAGCTACAGCTAGGGACAGCTTTAAAAATCAGGATAGCTGTGAGATGTATGAGCTATTGCATTCCTAAGGCTTAGGCACCAAGGAGCAACATGAACAGCCCAGGCAGCCTCTGCAATGCGGGGCGCTGCTGAAGCAGGTCACAAACATCAGCAGAGCAGAAATGGCAGGGACAGCACCCAAGGCAGGGCCCAGAAGACAGACTGAGCTGCTTCTCAGGGCTACAAGCAGCCTTTCTCTTAAGGGGCAGATGGGATAGCAGTGAACCCAAAATAATTTCTAAGATGTTTACATGTTTACATCCAGGCTAATTACTGAAGAAGACTCCTAAGGATAAGGAAGAGCTGAATCCAGCAGTAAATCTGTTCTTCTTTCCAAAGACTAAGTTAATGCCTTTTTTTCCCCCCTGAGCTGGTGCACATCTTGTAATGAGCTTAGACTCCAGGACTGGAACCCAACAGCCAAATCCTGAGCAAGCATCCACTTCTGCAGACCAGGACAAAGAACAAAGGGACATTTTCCAAGGGAAAAGCCTGCCATGATCCCAGTTCTGCAGACAGAATAGGGAAACAGTAGTTCAAAATGGAAAACAGATAATTGATAAAATATAAAAGGACAGAGAAGTCATAGAAATATAGTTCTTGCCTCCGTGAATCTTCAGACTCAAGAGGTTTCACCAAAAACAGGTCAGAAAAAATGTTTTATATAACTGTCATTTTTAAATTCTCCTTTGTATCTCTGGCATGCAAAAGTAAAAGTTCTATATATGATAAAATTTCTGGACTTTCTTCTTCCCAGTAAGAATGACACAATTTAAATCAAATGACCAGAAGTCTGTTCATGTAACAAAATATTTTTAACCTTTCAAAGAAACTGCAGTACTGAAAGTAACCAGACGTGCAAATGGTATAAAGTGAAATGACAGAGTACACTCTTTATTTAGACAGCACCTTGATTCAGAATACAAAAGTTGCTTCTGCAGAGAACCCCTGCTGCTGCCAGGCTTCACATGTTCAATGCCACAGTAGTTAGACTACCACAGAGCAAATCACTCCTCTCTGGCCAGCAAGTTGGTCAGTGGTTTGAAGAGAGTATTTCAGAAACTTGTGCAAGAGCAAAACTGTCTCATCAGCTCATTACAGCAGTAAAATGCAGACCCAAGTGGCTGCTGAAGCGCCAGGGCTGGTGGGAGCTCCCAGCGCCCTCCAGGCAGAACAGGGCACACAGCTCTGGAACATTCCACAAAGGAGATTTCTCCAGGCTCATACTACACCTGTCATATTAAGCAGCTTCCAAGAGCACATGGCAGCAACAAGGATGGGATTCTCTTTCCTCCCTGTTTAATTCTCCACCACCTCCACACCTGCCAAAAGATTCTAACAAAAACAATTACTGTCCTTAGTTTTTTGGTAAAGAAATCACTCTAGTGAGCCCTGAGTTTCACCATTATTCATCAGCAGATGTCTGTAAAAGTGTATTTGTCAGGGAAAAAAAATTATTACCATGTTTTATATTACCAGGAATATACGTAAAATGTCAATGGAGAGTTGCAGTCAAACAAAGCATTGCTGACAAAACACCTGAAAGAACTTGGGTAGTTTGAGTCTTCTGAACAAACTGAAAAAAGAAAAGCCTAAATTAATGGAGGGGAAAAAAATCTCTTTTCTTGTTGTAATCATCTCAGGTATAGCAAGTAAATATGATTTATGCCTATGGCTTTAAACAGCCCCACTCAATTTTATTTAATAGATTGAAAAAAAAAACCCAAACAAATCCATTACTCTCAGTATTATGCAACACTGGGAAATGCACACAGAACCAACTTGATACTATTATCAGCTGCAGCTGGTCAAGTTACTCAAAAACCTCCTCCATCAAACCTATAATTTTTAGGACCCAGCAGAAAGGGAGGTACACACGCAGGTGCTTCTGGACTTAAAGCAAATATTATTACAGTGAAAATTCTAAGGAAAAAAGAATTAGGGAAAAACAGAACCAACAAAAAACAAACCCAGAATAACATCCTTAATGATCAGACTGAACTGTCTCAAGTTTTTCAAACAGAACTGCTTTATTTTTTTTTCCTGTAAGTACATAGCCTTTTATACCAGGACCACAACTCAACCCATTGTAGTTAAAACAAAGAGTTGTATTAAGCAATGCCATATAAACTAATTTTCCAGAGAAGCTGCCATAAAGTCATGGTATGAAATTATTCTTAACTCTTCTAGTTTAACTGAAATGAACTCAATTGAAGATAAAAATGCTGCATCTCCTATCAGAAAATTCTTCATTGGGAAGAGGCTAACAAGTTAGATTTTTCCCTTTATAGTCAAAATTATGATGTATACAAAATATTTTTATTTAAAAAAATTAATCTGGCTAATTATGAAGGCTACAAAATCTACCCTTTGGTTTGTAACTTGAAAGTTCAGTGGCTCCTGTCATACTGGCAACTTTAAACATGCCAAGAAAAGAAATTACATCTAGCTCGTGAAAACACTCAATCCACCAAAAGAGGGAAAGCTGACCCTTGGCTTGAATGTACACAGAATTCTCAGGATGTGGATGGAGACTGTACTGCACATCTGCAGTGGAAAATCTGCTACACTCCCTCATGCTCAAAATGTCAAGGTCATATTGTTCATAACCCAGTTTTCCACAGTCTCTGCTGGTTAGCCTTTATCTTCTTAGAGAAGAAGCATCTTTTAGTCTCTAGCACGGACTTTTGAGGGTGTCCATTTAACAAGAAGACACAAGGAAACAACACATATAAACAGCATTCTTTATTAATTATTTCAAGTGTCATCTTCTGAGTCACGATCCTCAATTTTTTGGAGCGGCCGCCTAATACGAATTACTAAGTCTATGGAGAGAAGCTCTGTAACACAATGAAGAACTGAAATGACTAACTGGTATTTGCAATACACTGACTCTAAGCCTTCATTGTTTACAGGCAGTGGCTGATTTTTTTTGAGTAAATTAATGGCTTCAAGATAGAATTTGGTAAAGCCATCTCGTTCTGTCTGGTACAAGGTCTTGGGAATACTTAGCAAAGCATCAGCAACCACATTAGATACAACGGTTAGCTCTGACTGCTGACACTGTTTTGCATAATCCTGAATATAATAATGTAACAGGATTTCAAAGTAACCTCCTACTGGCAAAACTGATCCCGCTTCTATGAGGCAGTTGGAGCAATCCTGTGCAACACCTGCACAACTCTCCTCCTGTTTAAATGGAACTATATGGCAACAAGTTTTCTCTAGACCTTTGCCAACATCCAGGCACTCACGCGCAGTGACTGTACCAGTGTTATGTGCCACTAACACAGGAGTGCTGTGGTTCTTTTGATTGTGGACCAGCAGATCAGGGTCAAAAATTTTCCTTTCTGTTTTGTCACTAAGTGCCTTCAGCTGACATTCAGAAACCTCGTTAATATTACAAGTATTTTCTCTTACCAGCTGTTTCTGAGTCGCTGAAGAATGCCAAGTGTAAACATCTGAGGCTTTACTCTGGCTTTCACCTTCCGCTTTCCATCCCCCCCTCTGATCAACTGTTTTGAACAGCTGCTGCAGCATTGTGAACGCCTCTTGCAGAGCAGCAGCATGTTGCTCATTAACGCCATCGACCGGCCCACACAGGATCAGGCAGTGGGGCTGGAAGGCACACACACTGGCGAAGCCAACGTGGACACATCTCTTGGACACGAGCAGCAAGGGCTGGCAAAAGGTTACCACTGCACTTTCAGTTATCTCTCTGTCCATGGTATCACCAAAAGGCACGTAAGGGGAGACACCAGTGATTTCACTGATAAGGGCCATTTCTTCCGAGGATAAGCACTCTACCACAGACACACCACATAACTTGGCATAGTAGATAACTACATCTTCTTGCTTCACACTGGACAGTAACAGCTTAACGTTGTTACTCTGCAAATGTTTCATTAAGGCTTCTGTCCTCTTAGCGATCCAGCGCAGGGAAGCCTGGTACTGACCTTCGGAATCTACAACAAACTCCACACCGGGGGCCGTCAGGGCGGGCCGCAAGGGCTCGGTGACGAGCAGGGCCCG